AATTATTTCAAATTTGGCTGGAACTTTTTGAGAATACTTTTCGGAATATTGCTCAGGATCGCTCCACAATTACTCTCATATAGTTTCTAAAGGGTTGGATAACAGACGCCCAATTTGGAAAAATTTATGCACAAAGTGATCACAGATTTTATGTGGTATAGATGCTGGCATAACGGTTTTTGCCTATGTACGCGTCTATAGTTTTGAAATGGACTGTAGTTGTTGCACTTTCTGACTGTACATTGTACATAGGTGATACAGTGGTGAGCATATTATGTCCTTTTTTCTTTTTCTAGTACAGTAAAGCCGGTCTAGGCGACCACCCCACGGTGCAAGGAAAATCGACCGTTAAAGCCAGGTGGTCTTTAGAACCAGGTCCGACAGTGTCTGTGTAGAACTGTCCGTGCATGGCAAAACGGTTGCCAGGAGCAGGTGGTCGCTAAAACGAGAGGTCGCTTACACCAGGTTTTCCTGTAGATAATGCTCATTCTTCTTGCTTTCGTTCCGAGACATCTGAGCAAGAAACTCCCCCCCCCCCCCCCAACAACACGGACGCTGATGGGTGAGTCACCCTTTAGTACATAAAAAATGCACCCAGCTGCTGTCGAGACCAGAAACCTCTTGCGCAGATGTCAAACTGGTACGGGCTTCGTCTCTTCTGTTGACTGAGGCTTCAGAGAGCTAGGACACGTCGGTCGACTTTTCGGCCAAGTGTCTACCCGTCGATACTTGCCCGAAAACTCGTTGACAAGAAACTAGCGGCGAGATTTGTCAGAGACTATTACTACTTGTGCGGCAACACCGTCCACCCCACGTGACCCCAGGCAATTATTTAGCGCCGATCTTGATTATTTTCGTACAACTCCATGTTGGCCGAAAGTCGGCCAAGTGTCTGGTCCGCACTAGGCCGATTTTTCGGCATTCTATTCGACTAATGTTCGGCACTCTCTGTTGCCGAGGGACGTACATGTAGCTCGTACACTTCGTTGCGCTTTCCTGCCCTACATTGGAACGTTCTGCACCGGAGCCTCCCTGTAACCATGGTAACTACTGCAGTAGTACATGGAGGATTGATGTCACCATGTAAGCGGCCTGCTTTGTCTTTGCGTGTCCAGGCGCAATTTCTATATGTCGCCTTGGTGGTTCATGACTACGTGTCTTCTGGCCAAATCTCGCCATGTACTTGGCCTGCTTTGTCTGTGTATCCATTTCATGTGCGATCCACAGAATCTCAATGCACTAGAGAGACTAGAGAGTGGGTGCAATACGCTCTCTATCTGAAGACGTGAGTACACAACTGTAGACAAAAAAAGTGTTGAGAAGTTATACGTATACCTTAAACGTAATGAAGTACAGGAATAGAGAGAGTGACTACAATACGCTCTCGACCTGATAACATGAGTACAGGACACTCTCCACCTGATAACGTGTTAGGCTGTGTTTACATGAGGCGTTTCAACCCGGGTTGAGTTCGACCCGGGTCAGATTTCAACCCGCAATGCACACAAAATGAATGGCGCGTTTACATGACGCATTCCGCTTGACCGGGGTTGAAATTTCGCCTGAAATCAACCCGGGTCAAGAAAATCGTACAAACGTACTTCTGTGCGTATCTCGCGCCAGGTTTGAACAGCACTGCACATGCAAATTTCGCGCGAGCGGATTCATACAGGACTCTAGAAGTGGACTTTTGGCGGCATATCAGTATTTGACCCGGGTCAACTGTCTTCATGTAAACGCTCACCTATTTTGTCTATCGTACAGACTTTCAACCCGGGCTGAACTCGACCCGGGTTGAAATTTCTCATGTAAACACAGCCTAGAACGTAACAGGTCTACCGTCCCACCGTACCCTAGTAAACATGTTTGCAATATATGTATGAAGCTATTTTGTACTTCCTCCGTATACAAAAACTTCGTGACTTTTTTAAGGCTGCGCATAGCTCTGGAATTGTTCCGTTCGACTTGGAATAACACTCGTGGCATTGTCTAACCTGTTTACAAGCAATATACAAAGAAAAAGCAACTCAGACGAATGAGATTGAGTTTATTCAGAGTCTTCGTCGCTCCTGTCATTGTCACCTGACGACGCTGACTCCGCATCGCCAAAAGTCGCTGCTTCTGCTCGCAATTCGTTCAGATTCTTTTCAGCTGCAATGATGATCCGACGCGGGACTTTGGCTAGCGTACTCTTCATTTCCAGAGCTGTGCACGAATCGGTGTCGACCATATTCAGTCGTTCCAACCCGCGACCTCCATTATGCCGTGAAACGAGTCGCTCAAGCACATCCACACACTTCGCATTTTCTCGGCAGGAGAATCCTCCCAGCATTCTACAACGGCTTCGACGAGGTCCCTGCGATTCCCCTAGGCCACAACGGAGACGTCTGACTGGAGTAGAGAGAGGCGAAGAAAGCCAGGTCGTCGACATCCCGATCCGGAGTCTGCGCTGGTTGCACGACGACTGAAATGTTTCATCTTTCCGTGCGAGCGGAACCGATTTATGTTCTCACGCTGCGTATGGGGCCGCGCACCGCAAGTACGAGCCTGGCCAGTTTCAGGGCAGCGAGTGCCGCGTGAGTCGTGACTCCGTGCTCCAGGCACGAGCTCTACTTCGTCACGCTGTCAGTTTCGAGCAAGTAAGTGTTAGTTTTTTTGTCATTTGACTCGTGAGTTCCTGTCGGCAACGTCCTCACACGCATGGCTTCCGTAGAGAATCTGTTCGAGATCAACCAAACCTACCTCAACATGAATGTGGGTTGTCGATGACAGCCTTTGGCGCGGTTCGTTGAGCAGGTTCTTGCTCAAAAACACCGTTGAAAAAAAGTCACGAAGTCTTTGTATACGGAGGAAGTATATACAGTCGTCCCTCTCTAATCCGGCACCTTTTGCTACGGCGTTTTCTGCTGGATTAACGAGGGTGCTGGATTAAGAAATCCTGCCCTCTGACCCGGCCCTACCCAATTGCATGCATGTATCATACGTCAAAACGCAGGGTTTTTCCGTGTCGACCCAAGTATTTGGTGCACGGCTTTATATTCTCAACTGTTCTCCAGGAATATACACAGTGATAAAGTGATAAAGTAAAACAGAGAACATGTTCACAATGTACTCTTGCACACACACGCACACACACCTGAAAATTGGCAGGACACGACTCCTTGCTAAAATAAGAAAGTGTGGTTGACTGCTTAGCCGTTGTCTCCTGGACAACATTGACCCTCTTGAGAAGGCCACGCAAGCAGTCGACATCATGCAGGTCGAACGTTGTAGTTAGTTGTAGAACGTCAGTACCGTCGGTCAGTGTCGTGCAATGTTATCGCATGAGCTGATAGTTTAGTAACTGGTGGTGTTAGTGGACAGTATAGCGTATCTTGTAGTTCCTTGGTCTTTCTCTTTGTATAAATAAGTTAGGGTTCGGAAAAGTCCTAACAACCAACCGAACTAAACTCTCCCGCGCGAGGTCGAGTACAGTTGTCAACTGAACTGAACTCTGAAGTGGCCCCGCGCGCGCGGCACTGACCAGACTGGCCTAGCCTGGCCTGGCAAGGAGTGCACCTGTACGGTACGCGACTTACGACTGCCGGATTATGAAATCAAACTACGTGCAGTTTGAGCGATTCGTTTCAAAAAGTCACTGCCGGAGGCGGAATTCAAGTGCCGGATTAAAATGACTGTAGGAATTGAACGAAAAAAATCGGTTTCGTCAGAAAGTGCGCCGGTTGGCAAGGGTTCCGGATAAACAAGTGCCGGATTAGAGAGGGACGACTGTAGTATGTTCCCATTCCATTTTTGCTTTGGTGTAGCCCTGAGGTTGATTTGCTTATTTATTTCTACCCTTCCTCTCTCCGTACTTCTGTCCCCCCCCTCTCTCTCTCATTCTTTCTGTCGTCCACATATATAATAATAATGTATCAAAGGAGGCGAAATCGCCTGTTTGTGGTGCGACGTTAAAGGGGAAGTGCATTGATTTTTCGAGTATGGTCCAGAAGAAAGACAATTTGATATCGGTTCGAATGGCATATCTCTCGCTTCCATACGATAAGCCAAACTTGCCAAATCGCCAATTGTATACTCACGTTGCCATAGCGACCAGCGCAGTGATGCCGTACGAAAGGCTTAGCTCCACCACAGAGAAGGTCGATCACTGCAGAATTTGGTCATTTTCAATTGGTTTATTGTATTCACGAAGTGAAAGAAGGGCTGTGTTCAATGCTGTTAGTGCAGTGAACTGTTTGTTAGTAGTCCTCTCGGTTGTGTACTGGGACGTGACACCGACAGGAGAAAGCTGGAGTGCGGAGACACCAGCAGACAAGCAAAAATAGTGACGAACAAAATGCTGAAATCTTGGTTGGGACAAATCTGACGTTCAGCATTTCCCCCAACCAAGGACCCTGCCGTTTGCTCTTTCCACTTCCTGAAGATGAATGTGATGCTTCCTGGCGACTCTCCTATCTCTCGTAACATCTTCTGAAGCCAGGTGAGACGACGGGTGGTGGAGATTGACGAATGAAATAATGTCGTAGGTTTGAAAGTTTGCTGAAAATGTCTCATGAGAGATGGCGAATTCCAAGCATCTTGTCCTATAGGAAACCATTTCCTAGGCACAGTCAGCCGAGGGAAATGCATGAGAAGGGCGATAAATAGTTCACGGCACTAACAGCATTAAACACAGCACTTCTTTCACATCGTGAATACAATAAGACAATTGAAAATAACCAATTTCTGCAGTGATCGACCTTCTCTGTGGAGGAGCTAAGCCTTTCATACGTCATCACTGCGCTGGTCGCTATGGCAACGTGAGCATACAATTGACGATTTGGCAAGTTTGGCTTATCGTATGGAAGCTAGAGATATGCCATTCGAACCGATATCAAATTGTCTTTCTTCTGGACCCTACTCGAAAAATGGATGCACTTCCCCTTTCAATAAACTTGTACAACAACAACAACCCTTCGTCATTCCTCATTCACCATCGCGCGATACCCTGGCACACACTGGCAACATATCAATGGGGTGCCTTACCGTCGTCTAGAGGAGACATCTTCGCAGCAAAATGTTTCCTCCTGCGCATTCAGTCCGCCGACGCGACAGCGTTTACGGGGCCGGGGCCGTTCCAGTTGCAGAAGACATTCGTTTCATCGGGCCAGTGCAGCAACAGGGCCGTGGACACACAGGGGCAGAGGAGAGACATTGTTAGTGGACAAGAAATATGCAGTGGCAAGTGCCATGGATGTCAAGTTAGTTGTCATCAGGGAGTCGTACTCAAACTAGGGAGGTGACACGGCACAGAAGTCCGTGTCACAGGGGTTGACTCACACCCGTAACCCCTCGTTGTTATTTTTGGAATAGTTCAGTCCAATCCAGTCAGAAAGGTCATACTCGGATCGACTCGCTTTCTGTACTTCACCTCCAAGCGTGCAACGCAAGACCCGCAAAGTATGATTTTTCTGTGGGGAACGATTTTGCCATTGATCACGTTTTTATTGGAGTGCTCAGGCATACAGTGTACTATGATTGCTGAGACGTCCCGAGCACGCTTGTTCAGGTTCTCTATTTTTGACGAGCCGGTCCTACATCCCCCTACATTGTATCTAACGACGTAGGAGCTGACAATGTAAAAGGATTTCCCTGGAAATATTGAGGATGGTGGTGTGACTGCCACGCGGCTGCAGGAAAAATGCTGGCTGTTTATGACAGTATGTCTAGATGTACAATGCAGCTCTCTTGTATGGTACATAACCCCTGCTATAAATGTGTTATTTAGGCAGACTGGACCATTGTGCAAGTCAAAATTGTAGTATTTCAACATGACAATATCACTGGCTGTACTTCTCTTATATGGTACTTAACCCCTGCTATAAATGTGTTGTTTAGGAAGACTGGTGTATTGTGCAAGTCATAAAGAAGAAATGGGGCAGATACACGACTTACAATTTTCAAAAACCAGCTTCGTGTTATGTGCAATTTGAGTCAATTTTTAGTATTCGGATTAACCTAGGATACGACTCTGAACAGTTCTGAACAGTCACCGCAAAACTACACGCCGTCTCATAACTGCTGCTGTTGCCATCACTGCTATCAAGTAGTTCGGACATGGCAGGAGCTAAAAAAATTGCTGGTAGTCTTTCAAAGAATACTGGCCAATGATGGGCTATAAACGAAATGTGCTGCCTCAAAAATTTCAAACACTAGATACCCATGCGGCACGCTTGGAGGTGAAGTACAGAAGGCGAGTCGATCCGAGCATGACCTTTCGTAGGTTTCATTTTACCTTCCGTTTGTTTTCAAGGTGCCTGCGCTTGCGATGATCCCTGAGCTCTTCGAACAGTTGGTCGACGAAGGCCGACTCGCATCATCAATGCCGGTCCTAACTTCGGAGAGAAGAGACAAGTCCGTGCAGGTAGGCAGTAGCTTTTTGGTGTATTGACTGTTGAATCCGATTATTCTGTACATGCTCGTCGCCAGTAGAGTCCTCCGTTTTTTCGAGCCTGTTGCTTCTTTTGGTGACCGGTGTGTCTGATGGCGATTTTGTCCATCTACCATCGATCGCACCAAAATGAGAAACCTGCTCCGGAGAAGTGAAGGACTCAACTGACGAACGGGCATGCGCAGAGTGATCGGATTCAGCGAGCAATACACTGAAAGTTATTGCCCGCCTACTTGTAAGCGGGCAATACCGAGAAATACAGACCGCTTGCGGAGGGCGCTGATTGGCCGTAGTACGGACAACCCTCACGTGACATGCAATAAATACATAATCCTACACAGTTGCGAGGGCATGATGCTCTGATCAGGCCCGAGGTCTGTGAGTGATCTTGCCCGAGGTCGCGACGCCCAAGGGGCGTAGCCCCGAGGGCGTCGCGACCGAGGGCAAGATCACTCACATGACCGAGGGCCTGATCAGAGCGGCATGCCCGACGCAACTGTGTAGGATTGCGCTTCGGACAAGGCCCACCTCACAAACAACAAGGCCCAGTACAGTAGAGAGATTCAAACAGAAAGAAAGCCTTGACGGCAAATGAGTTGATGTCACATTGTGTGCAGTGACCATAACAAACAGCTATTTGTTTGGTCGGGACTTTCCAGTTTTGAGATGAAAGTATTCAAGTACAGTGAAGGCAGTAGTAACGTTAGTACCAGTAATATGACGGATTCGGAATAAACCCGACCTTCGAGTTAGATGATTGCCAGAGTAAGGTTCAAATGCGAGTGCTGAGAAGCTGCAGCCTTAGGGCAGGTACAAAATGTACTTGTGGAGGTCTGCTTCCCTTGTGTACGTTTCGCCGCGAGAAACAGGACCGGCTGCAAGGTCGGTTGGCGTTTCTGGTCTCCCTGCAGACGTTCAAGACAGTAGTGAGTATATAATAATTTTGGAGAAGGGAGACAAATTTTTAGTCCTCGTCGGAGATGTTGCCCAAGGCAAGGACTTCGAAAAATGGTAAATGCGCATGTGCGGCGCGATGCTGTACGATCGACTGCTGTTCTTGACCGGCTAAGCGGTCAAGATCGACTGATCTTGACTGCTTATTCTGGCCGCTCATTGGCCGTCTCCTGGCAACAAGCACGTGCCATGTCTGAATGAACTATGCCAAAAATAACACCGAGGGGTTACCGGTAACACACGCAGAGAAAATGCGTATGGATCTGCTGGATATCGATCAACTGCAGGCAGAGAACTGCCAAATATGGAAGGGGAAGTCCAAGTACTGGCAAGTACACATTTCACGTGATGTCTCCACGTGAACGTTTCACCAAGAGTCCATAAACTAGTCCATAACCTATTAATATACAGTGTCTAGCTAGGGGGATTATGGACTCTTGGTTTCAACAAGAGTACATAACCCCCCGGGGTTATGTACTCTTGGTTTCAATCAGGGAGTCGTACTCAAACTATTTGAGTACGACTCCCTGGTTATAGCAGAACCTCCCTATTCGAATCAGGGAGTCGTGAAATAGGTATTTTACGACTCCCTAATTCGAATTACCATTTTATTGAAACAAAGAAAAATTGTGGCACCTATGATTAGCCGCAGGGCCTAGGGGATCCGGGATGGCCCACGCCTGGTATAAAGTAAACGAAAAAGAGAAAAAAAGTAGTATAGTGAAATCGATAATAATAGTTCAGTTCCCACACAATACCGCTCCTCGGAGCCGGATCAGACCACAATCCTAGCCTCGGCAACCGCCAGTGCGGCAGAAGCAGAGACAAGGCGGTGGCAGTGGATCGATCGGCGAACCTCTCTATTCTCGTGTCACACTTGAAACTGGAACATCGAGCACCCGCAGCATGGAAAGGCTTCAGACAGGAAGCCTTTCCAATTAAGGTACTAGGCTTGGCTGTATTTTCCTTGAATTATTGCTATTAGTAGCTGCGGATGGTCGCTCAGATCGAATAGCTTCGATTCCAGACATCCATATGCCGACTCGCCCAATTACTATTACAGTACTAGCAGATTAGTCATTCCTACTTGCCGCCCAACTGACGGATTCAGAACGATCATGCCACCATTTCAGAATCTGTGTACATGCAATTTCAATCGCATAACCGCCATAGCTATGTTCACCCTCTGCATAGTGAGTGCACTGAGCTGGAGAGCAATTTCTCCCAGTACGTCCAGGTTGCTTGACAAAGCGCTGGACGACCAGATGGGAAGTCGGCTAGAAGAGGGATATCGGCAGTGGCAGTATCGAGAGATCTTGCAGTCAGCTACCAGGCAACAGATGGAACACTCCGCACCGCAGCCGGCCACAACTCACAGCGCAACATCAGCAGTCCAGAGCACGCCGCCGCGAGCCAAATTAGAAGTGAAGAGTACAATCACCTCTGCCTCTGCCTCTTCATCAGCTGCACCAAAGAAGAAAATCATCACAACTCCCACTGTGCTTGTGGATGAGAAGACGGAGATTCGTCTGGGCACCTTCATCTATATGGTATTAGGCGAGGGCGAGCCTCAGAAACGGTGGTTGAATCGAGCGAGCTGGCCAGACGTACACCTGCTCTACATGAGCTGGAAATCTGACGTGACTGTACAGCTCCAGGGGCACGTCTCGGAAACGTTTCGATACGTATTCTATGCTAAGTCGACATGGGCTTCGTCGCGTAACCACATGGCAAAGCTTGGACATCAGTGGGAACTTGAGCAGAAATGGCGTTTCGAGTACTTTGTCTTTTTTGACGAGGACGTGCTACTGGGTTATCGGACGCTGGAGAACCCCACGGAAGTAGTGCTGGATTTCCCGAATGATGACACCGCATTTCACAAGTTCAACGAAGTTCTTCTCCGAGATCGGCCCATGAAAGCGGGAGTCAGCTTCAACGAATTTGACTGGAACAAGAATAACCTGCGTTGCCAGAGCCGATGTCAGGCGGATAACTTGTTAATGGCGTATCATCGCTCAGCAAATCGTTTTCTGGAGCCATACACCATACACTTCGATAAAATAAATTGGTGGCTGTCTGCTTACATTCTAAACATGTACATCTCGGTTATTGGCCCTGAATACTGTGCCAGTTACAATGAAATAGTGGTCGATCGCAAGACGCAGGTGCATAACTACAAGTATCCGCGCAATGACCTGATGTGGGATGATGCTATCATGTTTGTCAACCAGTGCCTCTCTAAAGGAAACTTTTCCGATTTCAGTATTGACTCTAACCTCAAAGCTGTTAAAGAGCAAATGCAAACTTCACTATCTCGGCAACCCTACGGCTGGCCTGACTGTAAACGCAATCCACGAGGTGTAAACTTTGGCGAACTGCTGAAATCTAAGATCAGCTTTCCACAGACTTGCACGTAAATGACAGAGCCCGATGGAGAATCCGAGAGGTGCGTGCGCGTGTGTGGGTTAGTGGGTGTATGTGCGGTTTATTTGCGTAGTGTGATATGTAGGTAGGGTGGTGTGTGTGTGTGTTTGTGTGTGTGTGTGTGTGTGTGTTTGTGTGTGTGTTTGTGTGTGTGTTTGTGTGTGTGTGTGTGTGTGTGTGTGTGTGTGTGTGCACGGACTGGCGAGCGGGCGCTCTCGCGTGGACGCGCTCGCGCGCGCGCAAGAGAGAGAGAGAGGGTGGTGGGTAACACCTATTGTATTACTTTGTTATTTGAATTCTCTCGAAGCTGTGAGAATTTTATCTTTACAAAGATATAAGCTAGTGTGTTTGTGTG